GTTGTGCAATCCACAGTCTGTACAGCCATAAGCAGCCCCACACTGCAAGCTGGAACCACAAATATGCAGACCTGAAACCACATGTCTATGCAATACAGGAGATAATAAATGTCCACTTAGTTTAAATCACTCCTAGTGAAGACTATTACTTGCAGCCAGAAGATCCTCAAACTACACAAGGAACTGTAGTTGGAGACCTGGTTGCTAGCTCTGGCTCCTCTGCTTAGCACCTCTTAGGACCTTGGTCTAGTCACCTGACCTCTCTGATCTCAGTCTGCTGTTTTGTGAAGTCAGGAAATCACTTAGGTCTTGTATGTTACTCTCCGATGGAAGTGACCACTTTCTTCGACAAAAGTACTGAGACTTCTGTATCTTTACCCAACATCTGACCACAGCAGATGCTAGAAAGCAGGCAGGGGCTGCTTCTGCATATTCACCACATATGATTCACTCTGTTGATGTAGAATCACAACTTCCCCTCATCCTCAAGCTCTCCCGGCTAAAACTCCTGCAATGTAAAGAAACTCTGCAAAACAGCAGAATGTCTAAAGCAGGGATGCAGATATTGATATTCCTTATAGAGTGAGGACTCTCTTTAATAAATACACCACTCACGTCTAATTGTTTTTTCAGTTTTCTAAGGGCATGCTCCCGGCCTGGCTGGTGGCCAGTCTACCCCCGCTTTGCTGATGCTGACAGAATGGCTGCTGCTTGAGAGAGCAACCAGGCAGCTTTTACAAGTCCTTGTCCATGTAGCAGGCAACTGACTTGACACAGGTGCTGTTGTTAGGTAAGATATTTATGTGTAGTTACTATATAACCACCTGTGCTGCAGGACTAAAGCATTCTTCACACAACTTGGCATGCTTTCAGAAGGCAATGGTGGTGGTTGGGGACGGGGAGCTTGTCTGTGCATTTTAAGTGGGAGCTGAGATGTGATAATTTAGGGTTGCTGCTGCTTCTAGCTGTGTGAGGATGCACTTCCCCTGGGGAGAAAGCAATAATCCTTAGGGCTAGGGGGCAGACTGGTGCTAAGGAGCTACATGGACAGCCAGGAAGGATTAGGGTCTTGGAATATGGGCACATTTTTAGTATTCCTTTTCTGTGTTGCAATTCTCTTTAAAAATCCTCAGTCTTCAGTGAAGTCTGTTAAACTTAGTCGCCTTATGTTGGCTGTGCTTTGGAGAATAAAGAGAAGAGCCTGTGTCCATGAGAAATCAGTAGCAGCAGCAGATAAAAAAGATGCACTGAGATTGGTTGTTAGACAGCAGGGTCATATATTTGACTTCAGAATCCTGAAAGTGACCAGGCACGAAAACAGATGGGGACCAGGGAAATGATGCAGAATATTGGTAAAGACAGCTATTTGTTCCCCAATAATCTTGTTTCCTTCATCTGTTAAAATCACGTTTGTTTTTAAAGGTGAGCACACACTCACCTGGAATACAAACTACATTTTCCGGTCCACATCCCAGCTAGGGGTGGCCTTGTGATGGAGTCCTATCCAATGGGATGCAAACGGTGGTTGCTAGTCAATGTGTAACAATCAGTTCTGGGGGAGGGGGAGGAGTATGAATGGGTAAAGCCCTGATTTGTAATGTTTGCCAATTCCCATGGTACGAATACTCTCACCTTGGGTATTTCAAGCTTTCACCCTGATGGCACTAAACATGGAGCTGAATAGGAAGAGATACAGCTCTCACAAGTTGGCACCAACTGGTTCCAGCACATCGTTGGACGTAAGGAAGTGTTATATATGATTTCTGGGAGATGTCCTTAAAGAAGAAGGCATGTCTCAAAGGGTTGGGGTATGCCCTTCGCCCTTTCCTCCTGCTGGCTGGCAGGGAGGTCGGCGTGATTGGTGGAACTCCAGCCATCATACCGGACCAGAAGGAACAAGTCACATATTTAGGAATGGTGGCTTCAAGACAGAGAAGCAGCCTTGGTCCCTGATGCTCACCGAACCAGCCCCGGAAAGTTCACCTGCAGAGTTCATTTACACGAAAACTGAACAAAAGGAACACTTCCTTCTTACAATCACAACTGATATTTTGAGTTTTCCCTTTCACAGTGGAATCTATCCCAACTGAGGGCATCATACATGCTGGACAAGATATCTGACAAAACTACAACTTATATCTGGTAGAATCTTAAAGGATTCAGATTTGAAACAACAACAACAAAAACAACATCTGAGCCTTTCTAGAAGGGACAGAGAGGATGGAAGGAGAATAAAAAGTAAGAAAAAAAAAAAAGTGCTTATTAGCTGTTACAACTCAAAATATATCAAGCACCTCCCAGAGCACAGGTAGGAAAAAAATAAGCACAGAGCAAGGTCAGCAATTATATAAATATCAGCAAAGAAAGCAGAAAAAGGAGGAAAGTAACTTGAAAGTAATCCGTCTCTACCTCAGCTCCTCCTCTCTGACCTACAGACCCATGATGAAGGACAAGTCAGCCTAAATATCAATACCTTCCTCCTTGGACGTGTGGACCCAGCTCACAAATCCACAAGCCAGGGGCTCAGGGAGGACTCTCCTGCCAAGGGCAGTCTAAATTCTCTGCCTGAGAAAGAAAGACTGTTCTCAGACATCTTTCTTCTAGAGCGTTATTCCCAGGCTGAGAAGACAAATGAGGAACTTAAGGTCACTTGGGAACGAAGTTGACTCAGAGGCAGCATTCAGGCAATTCAGTCCATTCTGCCTTTCTGGAGTTTAAATGTATGGCTCAGGCATAGCCTGGCTTGTTTTCTTCTATGTGTTGTACACTGGGCACATGATAAAGGCAGAATGACTCACTTAAAATATAGGCAAAATGTAACAGGTGAACCCCTCTGAAAAGCGCTATGCAGATAGAAGATAATAGTGTCATAATTATATTCCTATCTATTTTCGAAATACTCTAAGGTTTGCCCAGGTCAAACACGCAACTCAGCAATGCTAACTGAACATCTGTGATGTTACAAAACATGTGTCACTGTGCTCCCTCTGTGGGGATCCTACGGGGATATTTGTCATTCACTCTTTATCTAGAGTCTTTGACTATACATTTACTTCCCTTCAGACGACTATTAGGACTTCTGCAGTCAGCATGATTTTCAATCCCTCCTCACCAACTACACCCTACTTCTCTCCCAACAAAGGTAATGCTAAGAAATGAACTTAGCATGATGGTGGGGAGTGGGGAGATTCTGGTTACAGGAGACAAGCGGCAGGAAACAGCAAGACCAAGTCAGCAAGAAGAGAAAAATTAGCCTGATGGGGGCATACACAAACAGATGAACACCTGTGGGACAAGGGGCTGTGAAAGCAGCTAAACAAAGCACAGTCCAGTTCTTAGATAAAAACTAGGCAAGAACAAAACCTCTAGTCATATATCCTCCAGAATCCTGACAGTAGCTTGCATTTAGAGTCAAGCATCTTTACAAATATTTGCAGATAATTGCTGCAAACATTTAAGGACTCACAATTATCGCTCTGGTTTTTTTTTTGGTTTTTTTTGTTTTTTTTTTTGTTTTGAGACAAAGTCTCACTCTGCCACCCAAGCTGGAGTACAGTGGTGGATCTCAGCTCACTGCAACCTCCACCTCCCCGGTTCAAGCGATTCTCCTGCCTCAGCCTCCCAGGTGGCTGAGACTACAGGCATGCGCCACCATGCCCAGCTAATTTTTGTATTTTTAGTTGAGACTGGGTTTCACTGTGTTGGCTAGGCTGGTCTTGACCTCCTGACCTCATGATCTGCCCGCCTCAGCCTCCCAAAGTGCTGGGGAATTTCAGGCATCAGCCACAACATCGAGCCACCTTTATTACTCTTAACTCAGACATCCAGGCACTGGAGTTAGAACTATCTAGGTTTACATCCTGGGCCTGGCATTTACCAAGTGTAACAAACTGTGTGCCTAGCCTCAGTTTCTCCAGAAACTTACAGAATTAGAGAGAATCAACATAAAGCACATATATGAAAGGTCTGCAAAAAACAATATTCTACAAATCAGAGCTATACAAATTTGGGGGTTGAAAAAATTTATGGTTGCTGTTGATATGCAATCAAAATTAAAATTGATTAGGTTGATGGCATAGTTTGAAATTATAAAAAACTGAAATGAACCAAAACATATTACACAAATACACACTTCAAGCATCTTGGTCTCCAAACGAGATAATAAGATAAACCTGGACAAAATCTAATGCTGCTCTTACAGTAAACTCTATCTCCACTTTCAGACCTCCATCCACTACCCCCACTCTCTGCACCCCACTCTCTGCCTATTCTCTTGGGCAAGAGGGTAATTTCTGTCATTTTCCTTTTTAATGGAGGCCTGACATCTGTAGATTACCCATATTATCACACTGGCACCCTGGCCAAATTCTAAAGTGTGGCTTGAAACTTTGTGAAATAAACCTACCTCTGTGAAATAAGCCCAACAGTGAAGAAGCCTATTTTTGGCAATTCAATTTATATGGGGTTAATTTAATGACAAAATTGTCTAAAAGCTAAATTACTTTTGTAGTCAGAAAACATCAAAGCAAGTATATTTGTCCTTCAAATATAATTCTGATTAAAAAAGCAGAGAGCTGCTTCCAAAATCTAATAATCTCCTTAACAAGTGAAACAGAAAGAATCTCATCAGTAGTTTGGAGGATACATGGCAAAGTATGGGAAACAGCCTGTAAAGGGAGGCCATGAGCTGATTAGCAGGGGGTGAACTAATCCTTAAGTAGGAACAACTTAGAAAAAAATGAATGTAGGTTGAAAATGTCCTGATTTAGGACCAGTGTTGATCATCATCAAGACTCTGCAAACTTTTGAGCCAACCAGTTACGCAGCATCTAAATTAATTTTGTAGTTTTTAAAGTGTCAAGTTACTACTAGAAATTTTGGTTATACACAAAAGCTATGAAATTTTCCTGAGTAAATACACCTTACATTTCTGGGGTATATATTTTGAACCAGTTTAGCTGAAGCTAAAAGCCAGACTAGAAGCAAGGAAATAAACTCACTTGTCAAACTCATCAAAGAGATCACAACTCTGCAGTTTTGAAAGAGCAAGTCGAAAATATTCCGCTAGAAAACAAATGGAGTGTTATGAATAAAAGGATAATTGTGTCTTTTTAGTACTTAGTAAATCACCTTACTCCCTCCCCCACAAACCCATTTCCAACCAGCATAGCCTCATTGATTTATTCTGTGAAAAATTAATGATACAACTGCAATTAGCCAGCACTACTCCCATTCAAAATGGTAAATGTTCTAAAGACACTTTCCAAAACCTCCCTAAAACACAACACATTTAATCTGAAAAAAATCATGTAATTTTAAAATAGCACATGATTCTGAAATTGAGGTTAGAATAGAAATAGTAAGTTTAACCCAATTAAATTCTCAAATTCTCTGCAAAATAGTTTTAAAATACAAAATAAAACAAAAAATACAACCCCCACCTTCACAGGATCAGCTGAATAAGCAAAATCTGACTCACAATGTTGTAGGCTTGTCACCTTGGGCTTTTATGATGCCTCAAAAATCTAGAACTTAATGCTATATAGGGCCAATCACTTATCAACAAGCAGAAGGGGAAGTGTTTTATCATTAGAAGATGGAATCATTCTCTCTTAACTTAACAAAAATAAAATATCCACTGGTTAAATTAAAAGACTGCTTAAGGAGATAAGAAATGCCAATGAAATAAAACTCACAGGTAAAAAGAAGCCATGGGAAGCTAGGAAGGAAGCTAACCCTCAGGTTTTCCTGCTAATTCTAAATCAGAATAAAGTTAAGGCACCAGAACTCACATGGATACATGCTGGCAGAGCAAATGTAAAAAGTAGTTTCTCAACAACAACAACAACAAATCCACCCCTGTTATCCTTTGGTTCTCTACTGCCTCAAAAGGAGTGGAAATTTATGTTTTAAAATATAATTCATTTCATTTCATCCCAAAATCATATCCGTTGGAAATCATTAGGAAGCAGAAAGAATAAAATTATATTAACATGCCATTCTCATCAAACACCAGTCAAACTTAACAGAACCAGGTAAGAATAATACTACTGACCTGATGTTCTCATCCCATAGGGCAAATCAAACTTATCGCTACCATACAAGGAAGCAATCTTTCTAAAATCAGCTGCACACAGAAAAGGGTGAAACTGATGAAACCTGGAAGGAAAAGATAAAGAATGATTTTGCCAAATACCTACTATATTTGCAAGCTTTTAAAATCAAAACTAAAAATAACTATAGCATATAATTCATATCGTTATACTGGCTATATGAAAAATGTATAATTTTAATTTTTAAAAATAACGTTAAACTGTGCTGAAATATTGCATAGAATGGGGTATTCAATGGAACTACACAACTGAAATGAAAACACTTTGCAGCTACTAAGATGAAAATTATGTTACAACTCAGGAAGTAAAAATAAAACTTAAAAACAAACCAACAGCAAGTGATAAAATAATAGCCACACACAGGAAAAAACAAAGTAATATTACAAAAGTACTGATGCTAAGCTATTTCTAAATTTAAAAGTACCGTATATGTGAAGTTGTGTCAGCTGTGACAAGTCTGGGGTCACTAACCCATAAATAACAAAACTGAAATCCACACCCAAGCCTAATTATAAGGAAAGATGTTCTCTTTATAACACTGAAGATAAAAGCTCCAGGTTTCCCAGAAGAGCTTCTCCAAATTGCTGCTGGCCTTTCTGTTTCTGAGAAAGTGGCCTCAAGTACGCTCTAGGGGACTGCCCTCAAAGAATACTGTCCACATGACAAACACAAATCTACTTGTCACTTACACTGTAGGCTTATATACCTGCTGGATAATCTTGCATAAATACCTTAAACTTTTTGGGTTTTCTCAGAAAGGAAAAGATTATCTTTTTTGACTAAAGTTAGGGAGTGCCTTAATTCTAGAGTAGCATTTTAACCTGTGGTCTGCAACCCATATGTGGCTCATCAAATCAATTTTGTGAGTCATGATCAGCATCTTTTTAAAAAGTGAATGGGACAGAACACAGTATATCTGGAGTAGTAAAGGTAAAAATTCTTTTTTTTCTTATTATAAATATATGTTTGCACTATGTCCCAAGTAAAATGTATTTCTTCCTGTGAGTCATGTTCAAAAAAGTTTTAAAACACTATTCCAGTTTTGTAGTGGTCCTCACTGGACGCACACCCCTAGAAAGACTACAAGCAGCCACAGCACACTTGGAATCATATACAAAAGTCTTATGTATTTGCAGTTTCCCGGAGAGTTGATTGATTGTAAAGGGATCTGTAGCCCCAAAGAGTTAAAAATCAGTAATAAAAGACAATAGGGAAAAAATGAATTCTTAATGCTTCATAGAAAAAATGCTGAACAGATTGTGCCTGTTTTACCCAATTAAACATGCCTAGAACAGACTTTTATTTCTTGTTATCTAGAGCATTTTGACCAGCAATCTGTCAAAGTCAAGGTGACAGAGGAAAAAAACATTTGTGAATAGAAAAGTAAATTCTTTACAAAGCCCAAGAGCCACAATCAACAATCATTATTTGCACTCTATGTAGTTCATTAAAAGTTAATAAAAGGGAAAATTTCTACTCAAAAAGCTTAACCTAGAGGCAAGGAAGGTGAAGCCACAAAATAATAAGGGTGGAAAATAACATGGGAGCAACCGGGGGAAAAATGAAACCCTAAAGAACAATTCGCTTTTTTATAGTCAAACACAAACAGACCTCTCTAGCCTCACCTGTGTGAAAAGAATACTGGTTTGATTGAGTTCCTCAATGCCTTTTCTTAAAATATATGCAGAGTTCTGACTAAAAGCACAAAAAGAGACAGGATATTCAAGCTCTTCCTTAAATATGGGCTGTCCACTTTATACTGCTAAGATTTGCATTAAAAAAAATAAACAAGTGTGGAAAATGATTACAAGCACATTTGGAATACTTTGTATGCCACAGGTTTTTTTGGTATATTTTTACCTCAGCAGAGAGGCAAAAGCTGGCTTTGATAAACAAGGCTGGATCTTATTTCTCCGTTTCATTTCCACAGGTGCCACCCTATGAGACAAAAATAACATCAGTCAGAAACCAGAACCGGGCACCCTGCCCAAAGGGAAGCAAATAACCTGGGAACTCATTCATGCCACCACTGAGAGGTTCTCTGGCAGCAAACAAAAATACTCCCTGCACCCCTTGAGGTGTGCCAGTACCTTCGCCAAGCCCTATGAACACCTGAGATTCATGGAGGCAAGGCAAGGGAGGGTGGAAAGGCTGAGGTGATTAGCAACCCATAAGTGATTCCAAGAGCAATGATTCAAAGGACCTTCAGAGAAGGGCCAGGATTACTGCATTGTAGAAGCCGCAACCAGGCTCACTTTTTAGAAGTCCCTGAAAGCTGGAGAAACCCAAACTCACCCCAACGGCACGTGGCTATTTACTCCTCCTGCCACATCTGCTGGCGCACACCAGCAGCAAACACCACAGGAACACCTGACCTGAGCAGGTTCCACAGACCCTTCCCTTGGGATCCGGGGGACTCTACAAATCACACTATCGAGAGTCATTTCTAACTGTCCTCTATTCTTGGCATAGGTTAGCCCTTGTGTGCTCCTGAATGGAGTACTTGTCTCCACCGTTTAAAAGGGTATGTGAAACATGACAGAGCACAACCAGGAAAACAAATGAAAGGGGTGGTGGATGGCAGGATCCAGACTTAGCCGGGAAACAGGAAAACAGCTTAACACAAAAACTTATTAATGATCATCAATTATGTGAAGAATTAGTATTTAAAATCTAATCAATTTTCTTCTATAATCAGCAGAATTCAAAATGAGGGCAATACCCTAAACCCTTCATGGACAGACACAATTTTCCATTTTTGTGGGTACCAAAATCCCCATAGTTAGAACTGCTCGGTTTCTGAACTAGGAGGCTAGTAAACTCCTTACGCGGGAAAACATCTTTTGTGAATACCACAATGGCAAGGGCTCCTTGATTTAAACATAAGGAAGATACATAAATATGGTAGACCAGCATACTAGACCAAGAAATCTCAATTATATTTGGAGGATAACATGAAGATATTGATTTCTAAAGTCATTAAAACATAGAAAACAATTTTAGGATATCGTGAAGACAACCTTTGGGTGACTTTTTTTTTTTTTTTTTGAGAAAGAATCTCACTCTGTCGCCCAGGCTGGAGTGCAGTGGCACGGTCTTGGCTCACTGCAACCTCCGCCTCCTGGGTTCAAGCAATTCTCTGCCTCAGCCTTCCAAGTAGCTTGAGATTACAGGCATCCGCCACCACGCCCAGCTAATTTTTTGTATTTTTAGTAGAGACGGGGTTTCACCATCTTGGCCAGGCTGGTCTTGAACTCCTGACCCATCTCGGCCTCCCAAAGTGCTGGGATTACAGGTGTGAGCCACCGCGCCCGGCCTTGGGTGACTTTTTAAAAGAAAAACACAATTGTCTGTCTTAAATCATTTTTAAGGAAGCAAGTTCATTGACAAACAACTGAGCTAATATCCCAAGGTACTTCCTGTGACTATAGTAATGTGTTAGCTGAGGAGTGACATGGTCACTTCAACCCTGATGACAAAAGACTGCTGATTGAGATCCTTTTCATCACCTTCTTTATCATTTTCCCCGTGACCAACAATAGGATTTGTAGGAAAGTAGCAATCTAGTAAGCTTTTTGCTTTCTCTTCCATTTTTGTCTTCCACTACTAAGGGTAGGACAGAGAATGTGGCAAAGATGTAGGGATAGATCCCCTTGATGTAGTTCTCATTTAGTACATAATCAGACTTCACAATTCTCTAGCCTGATATTTGGGTCCAAAGCCTAAAACTTTAGGGCCAAAACTACCCACCTGGCATTGGGATTTTTCCAGTGGCCATTTGCCTAACATCCTTCTGTGAAAAGCATTACAATTATTTTTCAATCAACCAGTAATGAAATCAAATGCAGAAGTATCAGCTTTTTTTCATCAAGTAAGCACAAGTTAGAAACATGCTGTAAGATCTACTATGACACACTGGCAAAAAGTACTGATTCTTTGTCTAAGACAGGAAGTTATGTGATTTATTTTAGCATAATTATATGCTGCCACCCATTTGGGATTTAAAGGTCATCAAAACATTTTTCCTAGCCAAAGGACTGACAATGAGAAGGTTAAAATCCCTATTACAGAGGCTTTCTCTTCAGTAGAACTATCTGTGCCTCTTCAAAATTTTATATGTGGTATTTCAAGTCAAAGCTATTTCAAAAGATACATATATCATCATTCACCAAATATTTTTAAACAAAGGAAACCATATGTAATATCTGTAGTTTATCAATAATCTATTATGCAAGCATTTTAGGTTCTAAAAGTTAAGTACTACTGAGCCCAGTGATTACTCCATTAACTCAAGGAGATGATGTATGGCATAAATAAAGAATGTTATAACCCAAAGATGGTTAACACCATGCCTTCAGTGAGAAGTCACTAGAAAGTAGGTGTTGCTTGTCAACTTTTTTTTTCTTTTTTTTTTTTTTTTATTATTATTATACTTTAAGTTCTAGGGTACATGTGCATAACGTGCAGGTTTGTTACATATGTATACTTGTGCCATGTTGGTGTGCTGCACCCATCAACTCGTCAGCACCCACCAACTCGTCATTTACATCAGGTATAACTCCCAATGCAATCCCTCCCCCCTCCCCCCTCCCCATGATAGGCCCCAGTGTATGATGTTCCCCTTCCCGAGTCCAAGTGATCTCATTGTTCAGTTCCCACCTATGAGTGAGAACATGCGGTGTTTGGTTTTCTGCTCTTGCGATAGTTTGCTGAGAATGATGGTTTCTAGCTGCATCCATGTCCCTGCTTGTCAACTTTTAAATTGTTCTAGATACAATCTATAGGACACTGGAATGGTAAAACCCCAATTTACAATGAAAAGCAAGAAAATATTCAAAATGTTACAATAGTACAAGTTTTTTTTTAATAGGACCCTCTACTATAATTTGTGGATTTGTGTGAAAGACTAGGTTGAGAGTTACTTTTAAATAACAAAATGAAACTTACCAATAGACATTCGTTCCCCATAATATACAATGCAGTACATAATAGAGGAAGACAGCACTCAGGAATATGGCCACGAGATACCCTCTCATGGCTGGCTCACCTGAAACACAAGGAATGAAGTCCAAAGTGAAGGTCAGGTTGTTATACAAATGGATTTTCACAATGGCTCAAATATAAGCATTATTGGAAAAAAAATATAGAAAAGGAACTATAGAAAAATATGATGTGGGCCTGTAATTTTGGAAATACTCAATGTGCAGAAAGATAACGTTTTTTCTGTCTCTCCTCTTATCAATAAGCACAACATAATGTATGTTTAGGCCAATAAACAGTTCCATGGTCTCAAAGCTAGGGGCCTCCCTACTACTTTCTCATGTTAGGTAAGAAAGAATTCTTCCAGAATAAAATTTTACACATCTGTTCCATTTCCAAAACTTTTTTCAGAAACATTAAAACCTATCTCTGAGTAGAAAGTGAATAGATGCCTTAAGCTGTGAATAAACATTTCATTTCTTTAGTGCTTGAAATGATGTTAAAATGTTATACATTATAATTTTTACAAGTCATTTTTCTAATTTTTAAAAACTGAGGAAAAAAGCTACTGAAAAAACATTTCCCTCATCCTCAATTTGTATATACTTTTAGATCCACCTATTTGATTTTTTCAACATCATAGTTCAGGTATATTCAGCTACTTGCTTGTTTTGTATTAAATTGACAATATTGTTCATTACACATTTCCAGACAGACAAAAACCTTGACACAATCCTCTCTAAAATGTAAATGCAAAAAAAAGCCTTTATAGAATATATTTTAAAAACCTGTAAAACATGTTTGTTTAGTTTTCTCTTTTGCTTCAAAGGAAAAAAGGAGAAGTTTCCACTATCTTATGTAATTAAATGTAAAAGACAAATTTAATACATGGTTCCATAACAGACCTATTTCAATGCATGTGACTTTAAACAGGTATACTGCTTCTCTGTCTCCCTATCAAGTTTCCAGTTCATCTGAACAATTGCATGTGCCACTCCTTTCACTCCTATCCACGCCTATTAACCTTAATCATGGCAATGCAGTATAGAACCTGGGAGTCTGGTTGAATAAATTTCCAAATAATGTGGCATTGCCTTCTTTTCAGTGGTAAATATGCTCAAATGGAAATCTTAAACCACTCCCTTGCCTTCATAAGTAGAATATAATACTAAACATAATTTAAACTTTCCTTGATAATATGGGGTCAGCTCAACAAGTATAATTGTTCTGGGCTTTCTTACAGTAGAAACCCTCTGCAGCTAATGGGTGTGTGGGGCTATTTGCTAAGCAGTCCTAAACTGGCATGATTATCTGGTTGAGTTGTTTTTCACTCCTCCCTTGCTGTCAGCTGTTGTTTCTGGCTGCTATTAATGCAGTCACCACTCCCACATGCCACTATTCTAAATTAGTTAGAAATGAAAACTATGTCAGGAGAAAGCAAATAAATAAGCAAGTTAATGAGCAAACTTTAGTTTACACATACTTCTAATTAGGTATACATAATCCCTGTGAAGAGTCAACACTGGTTGGAAACCAGAAGACAAGATTCACAGCTAACTCTACATATGGTGTGGGGAGCCTAAGGTCAATCAGTCTACCTCTTCTCAGCTGAGGGTCCTCACATGTTTACAAGTGAGAACACACCATCTACCTCTTTGGGTTATTAGACTGTCCTGGAAGGCAGTTTACCATGGGCCAAAATAGTGATGAACATCTTCTTAAATGCTCAAATTAAACATTTAAGGCTCCACTAAGAATAACATCATTTGGCCAGGCGCGGTGGCTCATGCCTGTAATCCCAGCACTTCAGGAGGCCGAGGTGGGTGGATCACGAGGTCAGGAGCTCAGTACCAACCTGGCCAAGACAGTGAAACCCTATCTCTACTAAAAATACAAAAAAAAATTAGCCGGGCGTGGTGGTGGGTGCCTGCAATCCCAGCTATTCAGGAGACTGAGGCTGAGAATTGCTTGAACCCAAGAGGCGGAGGTTGCAGTGGGCAACTCCAGCCTGGGCGACGGAGTGAGATTCTGTCTCAAAAAAAAAAAAAAGAGTAACATTTATGCAAAGATCCAACGAGGATAAAACTTACCAGTATCAGCAATTTTTTTAAATGTATTTACATCTAAGACAGTATATGAAGGTCTAGGGAAAGAAGTCAGTATTTACGAGTCAAAATTCCTATGTATTCTCCAAAACATACTCTTTGGGCAATTTATGTATTATTCTACAGAACATGGAGGTATGGGTAAGCGAGACTTGTGTTACTGTTTTGTTGTTTTTCATTCACTATTATGTGGTCTAACTAAAAACAAAGAAGTGTGACAGAATGCTCTTCTTTCAAACAATAAAATGAACCCACTCTTGAACAGCTACTGCATACACGACCTGAAAAACATTTAGGAAGTTTAGGCACTCTCATATTTCATGTACAATTCACAGCTTCGGTATTCAAGTTGCAAAGCTTTGAGACGGGCCAGCCAGGATATCCTTGTGATAAACATGGTTCCCCTGCTTGCTCACAGGAAAAAGCTTCCACAAATAAACCAATTCTCTAATTATATTCTATAAATGGAAAGGCCATTTTGCTTTGAGCAAAAGCTTTCAAAGAAAAAACAGAATTTAAGAGATTATCTGCTTTTAAAAAGACATATGCCTTTTAATATAGCTTTGATTACCAAAGCAAACAGTTTTCAAGATCTTGACATTAAACAGGACCAATGCCAGCTATGTGGCTGGCTGCAGATGCTCCTAAAATCAGGGTCCCTAAAACATCCTTTACAAAAATGTGGGTAGAGGATGGTAAGGGAGAGAAGGACTGACCAGTAGAAGACACACGTTCACACATTCTCCAACTCAGATGTGTAACCCAAGGTACAAGTAACCTACATATGCCAAATTAAACTCAATCTTGACAAGTTTCACTTTTCTTTAATAGTAAGAGCATATTTTGTGTGGAGCATTAAAGTTCACAAAAAATCTGTTATATGGCCATCCCTCTATTTAAGGCTCAAAACAAGCTTGTTAGATGGGTGTGCAGGTATTGTCTTCGTGATGAATGAGGAAAACTGAAGGCTTATAAGGTTGAGTTGTCTGAGGTCACACAGTTTAAGGAAGACAGAAATAGATTTATAGTTCAATCATTTCTTTCTCAGAGTTCCATTCCTGGAGTCATCGTGTCTCTCAAGATAAAAAGCACAAGGCAAATCTAAAAGAGATCATTCTAATCTGAAAATTCCTGATGGTGTTCCACTGGTATCTTGAAGTCTGGAAGGGTAAATTCAGATATTGGTGAAAGGAAGTGACTCTAGGGCAGGCTCAAAAGTCTGCTCCAGGAGGGGACTTGTTAACATGCACACTCCTGAGCCTCTACTCAATCTGAATCTCTGGGGCTCAGGAATGTGCATTTAAACAGCATCCACCAATTTGATTCTTATGCACACTAAATTTTGAGAATCACTGCTCTGACACACAATAGAACCATGGAAGAATTTCTGAAATACAGAGACTGTAACAGATACAGATCCCATAACTAGATGCTTTGTATTTTTTTTTTTTTTTTTTTTTACCCTAAATGGTAGATGCTCAATGAATAAGAACTGATTAGAAGCATTAAGATGTGTGAGTGCTAAGCCTGTGCCAAGGCATGTGATAATTGCTTTTGGTATATTGCCTCATGACATCCTGACAACCACTTTGCAAAAGAAGTAGTAAACTTACAATTCTCATTTTATAGAGGAGGAAACTAAAACTCTGAGAGAAGCAATGACTTTGTTCAGCTGACAAGTAGCAGAATGAGGACTCAAATCTGTCTCTATCAGGCCACAGCCCATGCGTTATACTACCTCCCCCTAGATGTCAGCTTTCACAAATGAGCACAGGCCCCTCCTTTCGCTACCAGACTAAACATTACTCAGCATTTCTCCAACTTGTCAATCCTGCAAGCTCCTTAAGCAATATCAATTCTAGTAACTGATGAAATTGAGATAAAGCTTATAGTACTTTTGATTCAAACTCAGCTGAAATAAAAGCCTGTTACTCCCAACCCTGTTCCCAGTTCTGCTCCTCCCAACCATGCTAGCATTGTTTATAAAAACAAAACAAACTCTATGGAGAAACACTTGAAGAAATGTCAGGTTTTTTTCAGACTCTCCTAATGCTTTCTCAAACCAAAGGGAGCTTGCTTTTCCAACCAGCTAAAACAAAGCATGTTCGGCAACAATTCTAGAAACATTGTTCTACTCCATACCTTTACTAGGTGGCCCTGCTGACACCTGAGTCCATTCAGCCCTTGGACAGGCCTTTATCCATCCTGGTCTCTGCTGGTCCTTAGCTCACACTGACATACACTCCAGACCAGACTGTGTGGAACATGGCCAACAGATTTCACATCCTGCCTTCCTTCCTCTTTGCACTTATTACTCAGGGTTGTGATTATAATCTGCAGTCATACGCCCACATGAGCAAACCTACAACAGAACCTCCAGCTCTAGCCCTGATTAATGTCTAGATTTTTTTTGGTCCAGCCTCATAGGTCCCCTAAGCCTAAGCCTCACAGACCCAGCCATCTCCATATAACCTAAGCCTTAATGGAGACACACAGGACTCCACAGTGACAAGTGGAAAGGCCCCAGTCCGCCTCAACTCATTTACTACCTCTCTTTTAGGTTTGGTCCTTATTACTAATTAGATAGTCCAAATGTGTGAGGGCAGCTTCATTCATATCCCAAGGATCTCCAACCTCTGGCAGCAATGATCAGGTAAATGATAGCACAGCTTATTAACCACTTACTAAATGGCCAGCACAGTACTAAGCCCTTTTCCACATAAGGATGAAATCACAGATATTTTCATCCCCATGCTAGATATGTTGAATACCTAGAGCACTGGCCAGAATTCAAACTGAAATCTGATTTCAAAGCCCACATTTTTAAATTGTGGCTTATAGAAAACTATAATAACCATATTTTTAAGAGTATGAACTGTTAAATAATCATTTAATAGTATCTTTTAAAAATAAAACAAGGGGATGATACACATTAAATTATGCATTTATCAAACACACTTCT